TTAGGAAGAGTCGGGGCACCTGGGTGGCTCAGTCATTAAGCGTCTGCCTTCGGCTCAGGTCATGATTCAGGGTCCTGGGATCGAGTCCCGCATTGGGAACCCTGCTCACTGGGGGGCCTGCTTCTCCCTCTGGCACACACACTCTCTCTCTCAAATAAAGATGTAAATAAATCTTACAACTTCTGAAGCTCAAAGCTGGCGTGCCAAGAGAACTACAGTTTTCCCTGTTAGGGTCAGCCTGTGTGGGATTAGGAAGAGTATTCAGAAACCACAATTAACTCTGTGCTTCCTTGGGCCTCTTCACAGACCGAAGGACAATCGCACCTAAAGACAGTAAACTCTAGGAGATTGTTTATGATAAGACAGACTCCTGGGCCCCGGAAAATGAGCTCACATGTCCCCCCCAGACATACGTGTGAGAAGGTCCCCAGCAGCTTTACTCATTACAGCCTCACACTGGAAACATCACAAACACCCAGCAAGAGCAGAACAGATCAATGAATTGTGACTGACTCATCCACCAGCTACTCCCCAGAATAAGAAAGAACAGATTACAGGGGATGACTCCCAGACGAAACTGTGGAATGGAGCCGGCCATCATGGAGCAGAAACAAGAAGGCGTCCACGGTGCCCAATGTCACAGCAGCAAGGATCTAGCGGGGTGGTGAGCGGACTGACTACAGCAGGCCCCAGGAAAGCCTCCCGAAAGGTCCTGCATCCTGATCTGGAGTAAAAACATTTCGAAATGTGCACTTAAGATTGGTATGCTTTAGGGGCGCTCAGTCAGGTGAGTGTCCGGCTCTTGATCTGGGCTCAGCTCATGATCTCAGGGTCATGCATTGGGCCCACCTCGGGCTCCCCACTCAGCGTGGAGTTGGCTTGGGGATTCTCTTCCTCTCGCCCTCTGCCCTCCCCCTGCTCGTGCACACTCTCTGTAAACCAAATCTTAAAAAAAAAAAAAAAAAAATCCTTAAAAAAAAAAGATTGGGGTGCCTAACAGTCTGAATTATGCCAGATCTAAGTGATGATGATGATGACGAACACCCAGCCTACGGGAGAACAGGCAGGGAAGGGAGCAATGGTGAGAGAGCAGGGCCTCTTCCTCCACACCACAGTCCCGTAACTACGCAGGAAGCCACTCGGTGCGTCAGTCGTGGGATGCTCAGCCAGCTCCACGCCACCTGCTTCATCCGAACCTGAACACAAGTGCAGAGGGAAGGACCGGAAGAGCAGAGAGCCAGGAAGAGCACAGACGGCGCCCAGGATGGCACCTGCCGCCCCATCTACTGAAGCAAGATGTTGTCTGGGTGTGGGGGGGGGTTACCTGGTCCCGTTCTCTCCCCAAGTCCCCAGGTGGGAGGGCGCTGGGAGGGAGCTGCCTGGCCGGCTGCATGCTTCCCACATCTGCATCCTCCCCGTGCCAACTAAGCTGTGGGGCCCTGGGGGCTGCAAGCACAGCTCGCTGAGACTCTCCTTCCTGGTGTGAAAACAAGGACAGCACTGGACATGGTGTGGGGCTGTGGTAGGACACACTGCTCTGAAAATGACACCAGCTGCAAGCCCTGCGTGTGTGCGAGGGACACGAGGACCGGAGACGAGCCTCACAGTGAGGAGCTGGACGCTACCCTGTGAGACATGAGGGCGAATGATGGTAAAGTTGGAGATACTAAGTCAGTGACAAGGGGATGAAATCACTGGAAAGCAATTAATGGAAATCACCAAAACTAATCAATCCTTCAAGATATGCTGAAAAATAAGACAAAGAAATAGAAGGATCATGGAGTTCTGACCTGCAGCAAGGCTTCCTCTGAAGAAGGTCGGTCCCATGCCCAGAAAAACAGATCATGGGCCGCCAAGAACCTGTGAGAATTCCCAGGAGCCACCGTGCCCCTGCTCTGTATTCCACAGCTGCTTACCCTCCCAGGGGCCTGGGAGTCAACAGCAAAGCCCCAGACCTGCCTGCTCTCTTTGGAACAACCAGGTCCGAGCCCGCCGAACGCAGTGTGGCCAGGCCTCTGGGAGCTGCGGGGGCGGCTGTGGTTTCTGAAAGCCACACTGGGACTCCACAGCCCTAAACTCACCCCTCAGGATGGGAAGGTTAGCTTAGTCAGGGAAGGGCCTTTGGAATTCTGTATTCTCTTGGGGAAAGTCCCCAGGCTTTCATCAGAGTTCCAAGTGGATTTATGACCGACAAACGGCTAAGGGCCCTGGACCCAAGTAAATGCTGCACAACTGAACAAGTACTAAGGCTCTTTTCACAGGCAAAACAGAAGAAGAAAACCTTCATCTCGTGAGTCCAGTTAAAAGGTACCATAAATCTGGGATCAGCAAAATTCTTTTGTGACTGATTCTGCTCAGCGCCCCAACATGCCACCTCCTGGCCGATAAAATCCCCTCCTGACGGTCACGAGTCACTGCTGTGGCTCAAGAAAGGAGCTTACTATCTATCTACGTCTTTAACAGCAGAAAGTTTAAAGGTGCTGTCTGGAAAAGAAAACCAAATACAAACCAAGGTAAACAAAGAGAACCTGCTGGTACCGACGCTACTGATCAAAGATATTTTGAGGAAGCAGCTGCAGCCCCGCAGACCCAGCACGTGTGGCTGAGGCGATCTGGCCCCGGGACAGACAGAGGCTCACCTGCGCCCCGGCAAACTCACAAGGACGTAGGGGATCAGGCAGGGGGGGGTCTCAGGCAGCTCTGGGGCGGCCGAGCTCCAGTAACACCACACGCCCTGGGACCCGAGCGCCGGGTTCTGCCAATGGCCGTGTGCAAACAGACGGTGCGGCCCTTACCGAAGTCTGTGTGGTTGCTCATCCAGCCGATGGCTTTGATGGACACCAGCTCCAACAGTCCAGAGCCCACAAACGAGCCGACGCCAGAGAAGAAGAAGAACAAGCCCATTATGGCGCTCTGCATGGACTTGGGGGCGGCCGAATAGGCGAATTCTAGACCTATAGGAAGAAGATTGTTTCTGTGAGAGGTGGGCTGACAGTGCCCCTGCCTAAATATGGCAGATTTGCACGGGGCCCCACGTGGGGTCTCAGGTAAGCAGGGCAGCTCTCTTCCCTAGTCTGAAGACTGTATTTAACACAAGGTCAAGAAATCAGGGGCCCCTTCTATTCACCAGGACAGTCCTTCAAGTAAGTCATGGAGCAAAAAGTCAAGTCCTTGCTCTCAAACTTCACGGTAACATCTGACCTGTCAGCTCTTGTATTTCTTGATCTATGTGGTTAAAAAAGCAATCTTCTATGTTCTCAACTAAGGAGGGTCTGAAAACAACATATACAGACTAAGATGGGGATCCTTTTAAGACTTCTATCTTAAAGGCAATATATTTTAAAATTATTTCAACACGGACATCCATAAATTCACATTTTTACAACAACTATACGTGGAGATTTACAAGGTACTGCAAACGAAGGACCACTCTGTTCATTTCCTTCACGGTCAGGAGCGCATTCTGCGTGAGTCTGATGACAGGTGTGGAGGGGAACCGCCGCCAGAAGCCCCCCACAATCCATCTGGCTCTGGTCATCCTTAATTCTGTCCCTCCCTTCCAGCAGCTGGGAACGGGTCTGCACACACTGCCTTGTCCACACCCCACAGAACACGGCTTGCAGGAGAGAGGCCTGCGCCAACAGGTCTGCCTCCTTCATAAAGCCGACCCGACACACCCAGAACTCTGGTGGCAGCCAGCGGCTGGGCTGCCACGGCAGAACCACAGAGTCGTGGTTAGGAAGTGTCCGACCTGGGAGGAACCACCCACAGCCGCTTCCTCCTCCTGTCTCTGCTGGCGCCTCCGCGGGAGCGGACAAGTCCTGGGAACGTCTCTGGGAACCCTGTTTTTATACCCAGAAATGCGAACCTCAGCCACAGCATCGCTGTACTTACTGACTCACGTCCTGAACCACAGCTGCTGCCACGAAACACAAGGGCACTAGGCCCCTCGTGTCTCCGTGTGTTCTACTCATGCCCCCCATTCCTCCCGGACCCTGCCAGCCCCAGGCGCCGGAGGGAGAGAAGCCTCACCTGCGATGCTAGCGAATATCTCACTGATGCCAATCAGCACATACTGTGGGACCTGCCACCATATCGGCAGGTCAGCAGCGTAATACACGACTTTTCCGATGGTCTGATTGATGGTTTTCTCTTTAACAAGGTCCAGCCTTTTGCTCTCCAAAATTCCTAGAATTCATAAGTAGGTTAATAGAACACTTGTTCATTAACATTCGCAGTTAAGCTGAAACACTACACACTTGCTACAAGATGCTTACTGACTACTGTGAGAAGTAGAAGGGCAAGGCCCAGTGACACAGCGGCCAGGAGGCACCCGACCTAAAGGACCGCCCCCTCCCGGCTTCCTAGTTACTCTCTGATCCTACCAGATATGTCAGGCGGGTCTTTACGTGTGATGTAAGCCTCCGACGTCTAGATGGCCCACCTGCACGCCGGCTGTCACACAGCCCTGCGCGAGGAGAGTAAGAAGGCACCCACGTGTCAGGGGGCAGTGGGTCCTGAGATGTTTTTCTTGCCATGGTGACGGATTTAGGCTGGCCCACTGACTTGCTACCCTTCCGACTACAACCCCGGCCATGGCTGACAACACGAGTTTCCCGGCTGAACCCCGGCGAACAGCCCGCACCCTCAGCAGCCCTGCGATCCCTCTCCATTACTGGTCATTTGTCAGGGGCAACAAAAGGACATGGGGAAATGAGCAAGAGCACCAACAGCCACACCTTGTAAAACAAAAAATAAACCAATCAGAGTAAAGCTTAAAAGCAACAGCCGTAGCTCCAAGTTCTTAGGTCAGAGAGGTCACCGAGTTTGTTTCTAAAGAACTCTGTGAACGGAGTAACGGGCCTAGTATTTAATATTTATGCAAACGCACGTGTTCAAAACCGTGAGCACGAGGACGACAGCTGTCTGGAAGAGGGCAGTGGACTCTATTAAAAATACCCCTTTTAAAACCTGAGAATGAGAAAGGTCCAGGCTACCAGTAACAGGAGGACGGGAAGACAAATTCTGGAATCTGCCCCAGGCTACAGGTCACAGGAAATGTCCGAACAAGGAGAGCATGGAGAGCGCAAAGACTGTATCCAAGGAGCAAGGTAAGGACAGGCCTCCAGCTCACCTCCATCAGAAACACCTACATCCCTTCCCTGGAGGCGCGTGGAGGGGACCTCAACCCCCACACCCTGTCCTCTAGCAGGAAGCGCAGGGGCAGACCCGGGTGGGGGCAGACCGGGGTGGGCCGAGCCGCCGGCCTGGTGCTCCCAGCTGCTCTAGCCGGGGCCTCTGGGGCGTGGCAGTGCCCGTGGCTGTCTCTGCCAGGACGCTGGTGGTGGCACGAAGGGCCTTATCCACAAGTGACAGCTTGCGGGCATGGGACAGAATGTGGCCTGCTTCCTCTGGGTCAGCCGAGGCTCCCCTCCCACTGTTAGGACACCGCCCCGGCCACCAGCGTGGCGCTGGAAGGTTCTGGAGCAATCCTAGCGCAGCTGGGTCTGCAGGAAGGACCCTCTCAACCGGCCCTGAGGGACAACAGAAGCTGGAGAAAACACTCTTCTCCACAGGGAAGGCCAGACAGGTGAGAGAACGTGTGTGCGTGTGAGGGGTGTGGAGGGTGCCCCTGGGGACACGACCTGCTCTGTGGTCTTAGCCATGATGCGGACGCCGTGCAGAACCAGGGGGCGCTGGCCAGGGGGACACAGAGCACAAGGCCGGCGGGGGGGAGCCTGGGAAGATGAGGCGGCGGGCCGGGGGGGGCGGGATGAGGAGCTGCGCAGACTATGACGGGATGGACCAGTACCGGCAAAGCTGCCAGCGGAGGAAGGGGGGCCACCGGCACCAAGGCCCCGGAACAGGCCGTCGCGAGAAGACAGCAGGGGGCTAACGAGGAAGCATCAGCACGAGCGTGAAGGAAGGTGCCCGAACAGCCGAGGCAGCACACTCCTCAGTGAGCGGCGGCTCTGCAGAGGTGGAAGCGAACCCGAGGCCATGGGCAGGACGAGGCTGAAGGCACAGCAGCACCGCGGGGGCGGGGGGAAGGACCGGCCGAGGCGCAGCCGGCACTCACCGCACTCACAGGCAGAGGAAGAGCGACGCCACAGGACAGGGCCCAAGACTCAAGAGGCACAGGAAATCCAGGTGCGCTGTGCTTCCCGCAGGCCCTCTGCCCACGGCTTCGCAGGCACGACGGCGCTTATTCTGCTCAGAACCGAGACACTAACGGCACCACGCTCTGGAACGTGAGCAGCGCGAGCTCTGGCCACACGCTCGGGCTCAGGACCCCACGTGCGCCACCTCCCCCGGGGACACACTTAACCCCGGAGAAGACGGAAACCCAGTGATGCTGTGACACACACGCCCCTCCGAGTCCCTGTCAGAACAAGCAGACAAAAACCACCAAGGCTTCGTTTGGAGCAAGGGTCGCCATCCAGAGGCCCAAAGGCAAGCCCTGGCCTCCGTGGACACGACACACGGCTCAGGACTCAGTGAACGGAGGGGACACAAAGGTCAGTGCTTACGGGGTCACTCTGGGTGACCCACACAGCGTTTGAGAGAGGGCATGGGCAGAACCTGGGTCCCGATCACCAGACGATGCACACACCACCATATACTACTGGACCATGCGCTCATCCACAGGACCCCCGGGCCCCTCGCAGGCCCTGGAGTGCCAGGCTCCTGCTGGAACGCATCTGATGAACACAGAGGATGGCGCTCCAACAGAGGAACCATCCTGTTCGGCTCCCTACAAACACTTGCAGAAAGCGCCATCAGGCCAGAAAGGAGGGCCTGAAGTCCGAATGCAGGATCTCTCCCAAATCCACAGTAAGTCGAAGCATCACTAACCAATGGGTGAACATCAGTACGAGGGAAACAGTTCTCTGGAATTACTCGTGGGTCATAAAGGAAGTAAAACCCAGGTTCAGTAGTCCTAGAAAACAACAAAATTACAACAAATCCAAGCACATGAGACCTGACAAAGCAGCAGTGACAGGCAAGTTCATGCCATTCTACAGTTTCCACTACTAAACAGGGAAGAAGCAGCAAAAGTAAATGAATCTAACTCATGAGAGAGAAAAATCAAAAAACAAACCCAAGGCAATAGAGAGAAATTGTATCTTAATTATTCTCTATTGTTAGAAGACACAGAGAAAGTCAAATTAATAAATTCAAGAGGTCCTATGGAAAAATCATCAAATACATATAGTTTTGGCAAGCCTAATTAAAAAAAAAAAGAGCACATAAATACACGAAACTGGAAATGAGGAAAGAAATACAACAGATTATTTAAAAGACAATTTTTATCTCCAGTCCAATAATTTTTCTAAAACTCAATAAAATGAATGGTTTACTTGGGACATTTTAAAAAAAACACTTAAGTGATTCAAGAGAAAACACAATCTGCACAAAACTGAGAAAAAGGTGAAAACATCACCCCATTTCTCCTGAGAGAGTAATGGGCTCATGTGATTTTCTATGCAAAGACCTGGGGAGCGCAAAGATAATTCTCCCCAGGCTGAAATACTCTCCTGCCCACAGAAATTGGGGGTCTACCAACTCCTTTTATGAAGCTATACGACCCCAAAACCAAACAACAGACTGATGTCAACTAGGGATGGAGGCACGCAGGTGTGAATGAAATAGCAGACTGCAAGCAAAGTCAGCCCTCTGGAAAAACTCATGTTTCAGAAATGCAGGAATGAGTATCAGGCATTTAATATAACTAAAAAAACATCAATATCCGGGGTGGGAGGGGGCATGCAGTCCTCTTGGAAACCAAAATGTTACTGGAGAAAGATCTGACATTCATTTCTACCAAAAACACTCAGTAAAATTGAAATAAAGGTTAGAAATTTAGCAGAACCGTGAATATGTATCTCAAACTCCAGTTCTGAGCTTCCCCGGGAGCTGCCCTGGAGGCGCCCTGTACAGAGTCCGGAGGGGGGGGGGGCTCTCCATCACCACCAGCTCTCCCAGTGCTGCACACAGTCCCACCAACACCCAACAGAGACACAGGGAGGGAGAATCACCGTGAAGGCAGGAAGGGAAACCATGCTATCTGAAGAAAACAAATGACCGTTTGAAAAGAATTCATTTGAACTCAGAATTTTTAAAAATCCCTTATGTGAGCAAACAAAAGTACATCAAGTAGTTAGGAAAAACCTAACACAAAATGCACAGGACCTAAAATGAAGAAACGCATAAAACTGCAAGATCCCATAAACAAAATTCAAGAAAACATGAAAACACTGGAAATGATACTCCTCCGATGAAAGTTTTGATTACGTCGTCAACATGAACAAGAAAACCCCGGTACAAAATGCCACAGGGCATAACTGTACACAGAATCTGAGGACTGATAATATAGGGGGGAATCACCATCACCCTAACATACATCAAAACGAAGACATACGTGTTTAAATCCTTCAGGGAAGAGATTCACAGAAAAAGTAATGAGCACTGACAAGGGAGCTAGAACTTGTGCCTGTGGCCTGAACATTTCCCACCGAGGGGACAGAAAGCCGAGGACAGACATGTGGATGGATGAGGGCGCGTGCACAAGCAGGTCTGACGTGCGGACAGACTGGAGTTGGCCATCACGTGTACTGAGAGAGGACTGGTCTAAGAACTGACGGTGTATTTAACAACGGAAGATTGTATAGTTGTTAAACACCATGATTTAAATGTGTAATTGACAAAGAAAAAATGGTATATATATAATACACAAGAACAGTTAAGTTATAAACTGAATACTTTCATTTCTATTTAAAAAAAGATGAATTTAGCTGTAACAGCTAATGTCCTTGGAAGACATCACGTGGTCACCCTGATGGGGGTGGGTTACGGATGCTCTGGGGTCTCCCGGCTCTTCTCTGTGCGTCTGTCATGACCATGGATCGCCTACATGATACCAATTTTCGAAAACCTGCTGTGGACCAGTGGTTCTTAACTAATGCCAGGTAGGAGCCAGGAAAAGGCTCTCAGCAGGCTCTGCCCCAATTTCAGGGTGCTCTCTGGCCCTGAAGGCTGTGCACAGACTCCCACCTACACCCGAGTGACGAGCACCCATGACACCACCAAGGGGGACGGAGGGGCCGGCATTTGGACGGGTAGCCACCACCAGCCTGGGATGTTGGCGGAGTCACGGCCTTCCTGGAAGAGAACTCCGTCAGATTATCCGAAGCCTTAAAGGGATGCCATGATTACACTTGCAGAAATCCACCGCAGTAATGCCCAGAGTATGAGCCCAAGCACCCCAACCCCCAACGCCCAACCACAGAGGACTGCGGAGGAACGTCTGACATGGAGGGATATTCATGATACTTCGGGGCTGGTTTTCAAAGCATGACAAAGGAAATAGAAACGTATCTACCACATGCCATGTATGTAATTTTCCCATGCACCCGCAGAATAGTAATTAGATTTCCGAAGGTGGTGGAATTATGAGTGCGTGTGCACACGCGTGCAATGGCTCATCTGTCTTTATTCAGATTTTTCCCTCCTTACATGTAACATGCTCAGCTTTTATTATACTCTTAGGGTTTTTCTGAAACTTATTTTCTCAGTCAGGCTCATATCAGCTTGCACAACAGGATTTCGTTTTTGCAAGAACACAGACACACAAACAAGATCAGGCAGGTGCACACTGTCCTAATGGTGAGCGTCTCTAGGGAAATTACAGCTGGTTTTTACTTTCTTCTTTATGCTTCCAAGATCACCCTCCCTCCAGTGAGCATCTCTTGCTCCAGTAATTCAAGGGTACCACACATGGTTCTTTAAGGGGAAAGGAAATCTAACCAATGAACACACTTCCTTTTTCCTTATGCACACTTGAAAAAACCCCTGGGACCTGCTTGATTCTCAGCTGAGAGACTTGAAAAAATGAACCATTACCAGCAGGCATGGTTCTAAATGGAAGATACTGATTGGTTATGGGGGAGGGTAGTAAGTTTCAAAGCCAAAACTGTTTCCTTTCCATTAAAATCTTGGTTTGCTAGGATAGTTTCAATTTCTACTCAAAGCTTATTAATGTTCCAATTAAATATTCGCTAGAGCTGGAAGTAAAACTGCGTGCATTACATTTAATAAACAGTGCTTAACTCAAGTACCAGATACTTAAAATCTCCAAAGCAGTGACTCTGGGGCTCCCTTCCCCTATCTAAGAACACAAGCGTAGTGGATGCCTTCCATTTCTAAGAAAGCAATTCCAACTCGGAGGCCTCAGGGCCGAGTGACCACACTAGCTGCCCAGCGCCCCCAGGGGCGAGGGCGGCCCCACAGAGCGCGGCCTGTTCTGCCCAGCGCTGGGCGAGAAGTGCCGTGTGCTCTGCGGGCACTGGTGAAGGCTGGACGCCATGCCCACGGGGTAGTCTCAGCGCTCACTCGTCTGTCAGCTGCCTGCTACACAAACGTGGGCAGAGACCACAGGAATGCCCTCCCTGGTCCTCAGCGTGACCCCCAGAAGAACCGAAAAACAAGACGGTATTAAGGGAGCCCAAACCCAGAACCTCCTAGGAAATGCCTGAAAACCGAGGACACCTCCCTTCCCAGAGGGAGAGAACAAGGACTCCCCCCTTCCTTGGCATGTAACCAGCGTGGCCGTGGTGCAGAGAGGGCCCCCTGGTACAGGGACAGAGGGGAGCTGCGGGGCCCAAAGCTGAGCCCATGGTAGGTGCTCAGGGGAGGCAGGACAGACAGACAGCAACCCCGGGCAGCTGTTACTCCAAACAGCCCTGATGATCTCTGATCCTGCTTAATGAGACCCGCAATTACAGCCCCACTGCAATTTAGTTTTTATTTGCTCTTATTTCCCCATGTGCCACAGGACTGGAAGAGAAACAATCATGAACAGAGCACACAGTAAAAACTTCATTCAGACACGACCTCACTTTAATTATCTATTTGATCAAGAGAAAATGTAATTGTCTTCTAAAATGTCCCAGTCCCTGGAATATAGATTTCTTAAGCCTAGGGACTCATTTCTTTAAACCTATTAAGTACTATATCAATATGTTCACTCTGGGGACAGTGCATGGAGGCTGCTGGGAAACATTGCTGGAGAATATTAAATTCTGTCTCAGCAGTACTTAACATTAAATTCCTCCTAACAGTGGGTGATACATAGTTGGTTCAGGAGTATCAGCTTTTCTGTTCTTGTTACGTAACTAAGCTGTCTTACGGTTCAATGATTTTCAAATATTAATGAAGGAAGAACTCCAGAGCGAGTTGAGAACGTCAGCGGTACCTCAGCTTCATCAGAAGATATTCCAACCTAACAGTTCAGAATGCAAGAATCATGAAAACGCCCCTCATCAGTATTGGGGTGCTTCAGGCAGTGGCTCACATCCCCTCTCTCTCTGGGGGTGGGGGTTGGTCATGAGCCTGGACCTGATAAAACCTTTCTCCACACGAAGGGGCAGGCCAAAGCCAACTCTGGACCTAAGTTAAGAACACTAAGGGTCAACCCATGACTTTGAGACTGATAATAAAAATTCATCCATTCAGCAATAGACAGTCGTCCACAATCTCAATCAGAAGGGAGAGAACAAGCCTCCTCTGATCCAAGCCAGAAGTCACCTTCCAGAGCACTTTACCAGTTTTGGCTCTAGAAGAAAAACAGCAGAGCCTTAGGAAGAAAATCTTAACCTTCACATAATGGAAACCAGAAAGTGAACGGCATCCATTCACAACACCCCACATCTGTCCTCTTTTAGGGTGCACACACGCAGAGTGACCAGAGGCCGGTCATGGGGCTCCGAGTCACCCACAGCTGCTAACGCCAGTTTTGAGCTCCAGGAATGAGACAGAAATGCGTCCCCACCTGCAGCGAAGGCAGAACACATCACAAAGAACATTCCAACGGCGATCCTTTTTAGGGATGACGGGAGTAAGCCATTTCTTCTCAGAATGGGATCAACCAGTTTATCCTTTAAGGGAATTAACAGGAGGATGAGAACTGCGTCGAACATGGTCAGCCAGGCCGCCGGGAACTAGAATCGAAACGCACGAGACAAGGTTAGTTCTCGGGAGGAGTAAGTAGTCACTCACCTCATAACTAATGTCTGAGAAAATCTTTTTTTTTTTTTTTT